TGACGGTCGCAGTGTCCCGGGGTCATATGATCCCCTTTGGCGACTTTCTTACAAACAAAGTCAATGGGGAAACTGGATTCACGTAACACTCTTGTTACTAACTTAACAACGGCAGGGATTCGCTTAACAGCGGTGGCAAAGAAAGGTCGTAAAATGGGACAAAGCTCATTTAAGAAATGTCTCAGTTAAAGTGTTCTGCCCCAGCTACGGACCCCAAAGAACGCAACACAGACAAAGTCTATACAAAGCTTATTTACTCAAAATAACTTAGTCTTTATCAACCAAAGGCTGTTAATAAACTGTCTTAACAGCCTACCAGAATTCTAAGATAAGGTAATCACAGTCTTACTAGAGTTGGCAGAAAGCCCAGAAGCAATTTTGCAGACATGAAAGAGAGTGAACTAAAGTTGTTCTCTACAGCTTGTTGCAAGTGGTGTTCTTTCTTAAATAGGCTAAGGGAGTGGCCAATTAGCCCCAAGCCTTACTCTCGAGGAGACCTCCTCCTGAGGAGTCACTCCTGTCTTTTGGCAGCTCTGTGCGCCCGTGCATCGAGAAGAGGCTCCTCCTCTTCCTCCTCTTCACTTAAAGGAGCTTCTGGAGGTTCTGATGGCCCTGGCTGAATCCCCGCCTCTGGCACCACATCTTCTCCAGCCTCCTCACTGTCCGACTCGAGCGCCAGCTGCACAGGCTGCTGGCACAGCACCACACCAGCCTCCTCGTTGTCGGAATCAGCTACAATCCGCGCAGGCCGCTGGAGGGCCACAACATAAGGACAGAAATTAACCCAATCTGTATTTCAGGAGTTTAGCAGGATACAAATTCTGCTCACGAACTCCTGGCGGGTGGCCCTTTGAGAGCTGTACGCAACGAAATTTCATTTTAACGCGTGCCGATGAATGTACATTTCAAGTGACAACAAAGTTCATTCTAAATTCTAAGCTCTGAGCAATGCCAGTCCTAAGCCTGGTTGCAAATCTAGCCAAGCAGAATAACTGCAACTGCAAAAACCCTGAGCTATAAACTCTCTATTTGTCAAACAAATGAAAAAAAAAAAAAACACTAAAAACCCCACTTGGAATGTATTATTCCACAGCAGAATACATTATTTAAAAGAGAAGACTTGTATAAACTTTCAAACCTACACTCTCTAAAAAACACAAAAAACCAACAGTAACAAGCTTAGCATGCTTATTTCCACTCTTTTAAAGAGCTAAAATCAAGATTAAGATTTCAAACTGAGCCGCACAATAAGTAAGAACATTTCTCAAACTAGGTAACTTACTGTATGATTCAGAGGGGGGGGGGGGGAAAATTTGGGGGGGTTTTTAAAAAAAAAAAAAAAAAAAATGCTAACAGGCCCGGAGAGAATAAAAAGCTGAATCATTTTACTCAGTACTACTGATTTTTGTTCCGCTGATTCATTGTTCTCACTGTCAGGAAATTCCACCTTAGTGATAGGGTTGATTTCGCTTTCGCAAGTTTCCACCCATTAGATCAGAACAGAGTTGTAAGAGACCTTGGAGCAGGGGTGAAATACTCCCGGTTCGGACAGGATCGCCTGATCCGGTGGCGATGACAGTGGCTGGTTCGGAGAACTGGCAGCAAAAATCCCTGCGCCCACCCACCCCCCATGCCCAGCTGAGCCGCGCGATCATTAGAGGCTTTTTTTTTTTTTACTTTTAAAAGCATTTTTTCTACAACCTCTTCCGACGAAAAAATGCTTTTAAAAGTAAAAAAAAAAAAACTTTTGATGATCGCGCGGCTCAGCTGTGATTGTCAGAGGCTTTTCAAAGCATTTTTTTCTGCATTTTTTCTCTCTTGGCCGAAGAGGTGGTAAAAAAAAATGCTTCGAACCTCTCTAGGAGTCTCTAGGAGCCTCTCTAGGAGTCTCTGGAGGCTGGGGACAGGAAAAAAAGTCACTTCCTGTCCCACCGGGAGTTGGGAAATGGGCCCTTTCCGCCTTCGTAGGGCCTCCAAGGGAGTGGGAAAGGCTGTTTTCGCCCTTCCCAGATGCACAGGATCTGGAAACAGGTAAGAAAAAAAAAACGGGCCTTCCTCACCCCCCACACCCCAGGCCCTCTGGAGGCAGGAAACAGCCTGTTTCCCTACTTCTGGTGGGCCCAGAAGGCCCGAAAATCAGCTGGCCGGCACGCGCATGCGCCCCAGAGCTGAGCTAGCGTGCCCACTAATATGGCTCCGCGTGCCACCTGTGGCACGCATGCCATAGGTTTGCCATCACGGTTCTATACCATTTGAGACATGTGGCTGTCCAGTCTTTTCTTAAAAACCTCCAGTGATGAAATTTCTCCTTAATTCCAGGTTGACTAGTTTCCATCCGTTGCTTCTACTCCTGCCTTCGGGGGCTTTGGAGAATAGCTTGATCACCATCTTCTTTGGGGCAGCCCATCAAATAGTTAAATTCGAAACGGATCAGGCCTGTTGCAGCCATCTTTCTGTTTCTCGAATTGCCACGCAGTATGGGAGGAGGGGGGGGGGGAGAAGCTTGGAATGCAGACCAGACAAAACAACCTACTATCCCTTGGGAACCAAGGTCATCTCAACAGGTGCTGGGCAGAGCCTGGAAGAAATTGCCAAGGAGACGCCAGAACGCCTAATTGGACAATGTGACCTGGGACGACGAGGGAGGGAATGATCTGTTCTTGAATTATACTGAAAACGCGGGAAATAATCAGAGCTGGTTTTGTATTCATCCGCGCCAGAATGATGTACTCAGTAAAACAGTCCTTTGAGAAAGTAAAAAGTCTCAAGAGTTGCTGAATTGTTTGGGTTCATCAGTCGGAACCTTGACACAAATATTGGAAGACTGATGTCATGTTCCCCCTTAATCCTTCTTTTCATTAGACTAGAATGAACCTGCAACTCCAATTCCCGCAACCGTTCTTCGTACCTTTTAGCCTCCAGTCCCCTAATTATTTTTGCTGCTCTTCTCTGCATTCTTTCTAGAGCAGGGGTGTCAAACTCAAGGCCCATGGCCTGGATCTGTGCTGTGGGGTGTTGTGGTCCGTACGTGGCCTGTGCAGGTAGTAGCTGATTCCGACAGCGAGGAGGTTGGTGTGGTGCTGTGCCAGCAGCCTGTGCAGCTGGCACTCGAGTCGGACAGTGAGGAGGCTGGAGAAGATGTGGTGCCAGAGGCGGGGATTCAGCCAGGGCCTTCAGAACCTCCAGAAGTTCCCATAAGTGAAGAGGAAGAAGAGGAGGAGCCTCTTCTCAATGCACGGGTGCACAGAACTGCCAAAAGGCAGGAGTGGCTCCTCAGGAGGAGGTCTCCTTGAGAGTAAGGCTTCGGGCTAATTGGCCACTCCCTTAGCCTATTTAAGGAGGAACGCCGACTGAAGCAATTTGCAGGGAACAACTTTGTTCACTCTCCTTCGTGTCTTGATCTTAGTTCTCTTATCAGTTTCCTGCAGATTGCTTCTGGGCATTCTGCCAACCATAGTAAGATTACGATTATTTATTCTTTGGATTCTTGTAGGCTGTTAATGCAGTTAATTAACAGCCGTTGTAAAAGACTGGTTTATTCAGTAAACTAAGGTCTGAACGGAATTTGTGTGTGCTGCGTTTTTTGGGGTCCGTAGCTGGGGCAGAACATGGGGTGCTTAGATCTAGCCCGCGGTGCCTCTGCCAGCAAAAACAGAGCTCAAGGAGCCCGGGCCCAGTCTTCCCAGGTCTCCATTTTTGCTAGCAGAGGGCTGCAGGAGGCCATTGCGGCCAAAAATGGAACTCGGACTGGCTGCGTGTGGCTCCCCAGCTCCATTTTAATTGGCAGAGAGCTGCAGGAGGCCATTGCGACTGAAAACGGAGCTCGGACTGGCCAAGTGTGCCCCCCCCCGGCTCTGTTTTCGCTGCCAAAGGCTGCAGGAGGCTGTTGCAGCCAAAAACGGAGCCTCGACGAATGATGTCGAATTGGCCATGCCCCCCCCCCCGGCCACGCTCCCAGCCCCCTCCCCAAGTTCAAACACAACTTTGCGGCAGCTTTCAATGAAATCGAGTTTGACACCCCTGTTCTAGAGTCTCAATTTTTTTTTTTTTTTTTAACATCTTCGTTGCTTTCCTCTCCACAATCTTTCTAGGATCTCATTAAAACAAGCGCACTTCCAACGAAAGGCCGGGCCAAAACGAAAGCGCCTTCAACGTGTCTCCCCCAATTTTCTTCTTTGACACATTCTCCTTCTCGCACACCTCCCCGGTTCAAAGATCCCTCGCTCACCTTTGGGCAGAGAACTTCGGTCTGCTGGATCATGATCAGCGCTGATGCAATCAGAGCCCCCTGACGCACGTAGTTGACAGGATCGTTAGTCATCGGTTCCAACAAATTAATTGCTTCCTATCGGGGGAGAGAGAGAAAAAAAAGAGAGGAATATTAACTTTATTTACCTTTCGAGCGCCAGGCATTCTTTCATCAGGATTATCCGATTAGGATCTTCAAGCAGGGCATGGTAGGGAGCAGCTGATGAGAGGGACGCCAAAAAGGGCACTCGCGCGACAGGCGCTCCGAAGATCAAACGTTTTAATTTCTTGGGGGAAAAAACGAGGCTGGAAGGAGTGAGATCTAGCCCGCGGTGCCTCTGCCAGCAAAAACAGAGCTCAAGGAGCCCGGGCCCAGTCTTCCCAGGTCTCCATTTTTGCTAGCAGAGGGCTGCAGGAGGCCATTGCGGCAAAAATGGAACTCGGACTGGCTGCGTGTGGCTCCCCAGCTCCATTTTAATTGGCAGAGAGCTGCAGGAGGCCATTGCGACTGAAAACGGAGCTCGGACTGGCCAAGTGTGCCCCCCCCCGGCTCTGTTTTCGCTGCCAAAGGCTGCAGGAGGCTGTTGCAGCCAAAAAACGGAGCCTCGACGAATGATGTCGAATTGGCCATGCCCCCCCCCCGCCACGCTCCCAGCCCCCTCCCCAAGTTCAAACACAACTTTGCGGCAGCTTTCAATGAAATCGAGTTTGACACCCCTGTTCTAGAGTCTCAATTTTTTTTTTTTTTTTTAACATCTTCGTTGCTTTCCTCTCCACAATCTTTCTAGGATCTCATTAAAACAAGCGCACTTCCAACGAAAGGCCGGGCCAAAACGAAAGCGCCTTCAACGTGTCTCCCCCAATTTTCTTCTTTGACACATTCTCCTTCTCGCACACCTCCCCGGTTCAAAGATCCCTCGCTCACCTTTGGGCAGAGAACTTCGGTCTGCTGGATCATGATCAGCGCTGATGCAATCAGAGCCCCCTGACGCACGTAGTTGACAGGATCGTTAGTCATCGGTTCCAACAAATTAATTGCTTCCTATCGGGGGAGAGAGAGAAAAAAAAGAGAGGAATATTAACTTTATTTACCTTTCGAGCGCCAGGCATTCTTTCATCAGATTATCCGATTAGGATCTTCAAGCAGGGCATGGTAGGGAGCAGCTGATGAGAGGGACGCCAAAAAGGGCACTCGCGCGACAGGCGCTCCGAAGATCAAACGTTTTAATTTCTTGGGGGAAAAAACGAGGCTGGAAGGAGTGTGAAGCAAGCAATTTGTTTCAGGTGAGAAAAACACCTTTTTTTTTTTTTAAATGCTGCTGGTCTCAAGGCTACTTCTGAGAAACGCCTTCCGTTACCTGTCCTCACTCTTTCCGTGAAGGGTCCCCTTAAATAAACCGTTGAAGAAGGGTGGAGACGGTTTTGGTTTGGTGGTGAATGCACCAGGTTAGAAACCAGGAGACGGTGAGTTCTAGTTCCACCTTAGGCGGGAAGCCAGTTGGGTGACTTGGGCCAATCCCCAGCAGACTGCGAGTTCTAGTCCCCCTTAGGCAGGAAAGCCAGCTAGGTGACTTGGGCCAATCACCAGGAGGACCGTGAGTTCTAGTCCCGCCTTACGCAGAAAAGGCAGCTGGGTGACTTTGGGCCAATCGCCAGGAGACTGTGAGTTCTAGTCCCACCTTAGACAGGAAAGCCAGCAGGGTAACTTTGAGCCAATCACCAGGAGACTGTGAGTTCTAGTCCCACCTTAGGCAGGAAAGCCAGCAGGGTAACTTTGGGCCAATCACCAGGAGACTGTGAGTTCTAGTCCCATCTTAGGCAGGAAAGCCAGCTGGGTGACTTTGGCCAATCGCCAGGAGACTGTGAGTTCTAGTCCCACCTTAGACAGGAAAGCCAGCAGGGTAACTTCGTGTCAATCACCAGGAGACTGTGAGTTCTAGTCCCACCTTAGGCAGGAAAGCCAGCTGGGTGACTTTGGGCCAATCGCCAGGAGACTGTGAGTTCTAGTCCCACCTTAGACAGGAAAGCCAGCAGGGTAACTTCGTGTCAATCACCAGGAGACTGTGAGTTCTAGTCCCACCTTAGGCAGGAAAGCCAGCTGGGCGACTTTGGGCCAATCGCTGGGAGATGGTGAGTTGTAGTCCTACCTTAGGCAAGAAAGCCAGCTGAGTGACTTTGGGCCAATTACCGGGAGACTGTGAGTTCTAGTCCCGCCTTACGCAGGAAAGGCAGCTGGGTGACTTTGGGCCAATCACCAGGAGACTGTGAGTTCTAGTCCCACCTTAGGCAGGAAAGGCAGCTGGGTGACTTTGGGCCAGTCCCTCTCTCTCAACCTAATCCACCTCACAGGGTTGTTGTTGTGGGAAAAATAGTAGGAGGAAATAATATTAGGTATGTTTTGCCACTTCAAGTTATGTATAAAAATAATAACCATCTTCCAAGTTGATAAAACACTGGTCTAGGGCCAGATAATGAACTCAAGGTTAAATAAAACGCAGACAAATGCCACGGATGGATCAAAGTCTTTTTATGGCTTATTTTTCCCTACTTGAGCTCTCTTCCCTTCTAATTATGCAAAATGACCTTTTATAAGTGGGATTGTCTTGGTGTGCATTTAGAGGTCCTGACCCAAACCCTTGACGTTGTGTGAACTCACAACTATTTATAGAGGAAGGAGGTCCCTCTTGAGTAACTAAAACCTTAACATGATTTCCAGTCTTTTCAGTTCTAACGTATTAATTCAGACTTTGGTATATGTTGATGTAAGAAGACCCACTGACATAAACATACGCTCAAGCTTTTTTATTTCAGAAATAAACAATGAAAGTGCAAAAACTGCAGCCAGGCAGGTTGTTATCCCGCCTGCATAAAAGTTACGGAGAGACAAAGCAGACTTGGGCGAAAAGCTTGAGCGAAAACGATTGCCCTTTTCATGTCCAGTAAAGGAAAATATCGCCGACGAGACAGGAAATCAATATAGTTTCTGTACTTTCTCTAGACTCTGCCCTCCAAAGGGGAATGTCCAAAAGCTGAAGATTTTTCAAGAAACCGTCGAGCCAAAGAATGCGTCTCTTGGATAAATAAAAATTAGGTCTTGCGTAAACACGGATCAGGAACCAGAAGATAATCCAAGAATATGACCGGGAGCAAATTTTAGATCAATATTTCTCACTTTTAAGGGGTGTGGACTTCAAGTCTCAGAATTCCCCAGCCAGCATGGACTAGAATGATCATTTCTTTGAATTCATCCAATGAAGTTTGTCAGAGATGTGCCAAAAATACTAATCAAATATAACTTCGGCTTACAAAGGCCAACTTGGCTATGCAGATGGTCCTCAATTTACGACCACAATTGAACCCAAAATGTTGGCTGCTAAGCGAGACATTTATTAAGTGAGTTTTGCCCCACCTTATGACCTTCCTTGCCATGTTTGTTAAGTGAATCACTGCAGATGTTAAATTAGTGACATGGTTGTTAAGTGAATCTGGCGGGCCCCACTGACTTTAACCCAAAATGAATTTTGCTAAGTGAAATATTTGTTAAGGGAGTTTTGCCCCGTCTTATGACCTTCCTTGCCACATTTGTTAAGTGAATCACTGCAGATTGATTGATTGATTGATTGATTGATTGATTGGTTCGATTTATATGCCGCCCTTCTCCGGAGACTCAGGGGGGCTTACAATGTGCTCAGCAATAGCCTTCATCCTTTTGTATATTTATACAAAGTCAGCTTATTGCCCCCACAATCCGGGTCCTCATTTTACCTACCTTAGAAAGGATGGAAGGCTGAGTCGACCTTGAGCCTGGTGAGATTTGAACTCGTAGTAATTGCAGGCAGCTGGTGCTACTTAACAGCACTTTAGTCTGCTGCGCCACCAAGGGTCTGTTAAGATGTTAAGTTAGTGACATGGTTGTTAAGTGAATCTGGCTTCCCCATTGACTTTGCTTGTCAGAAGGTCACAAAAGGGGATCACGTGACCCAGGACACTGCAACCGTCATAAATGTGAGTCGGCTGCCAATTGTCCAAATTTTAAACATGTGACCATGGGGATGCTGCAACGGTCATAAGTGTGAAAAATGGTCCTAAGTTACTTTTTTCCAGTGCCATTGTAACTTTAAATGGTCACTAAATGAACTGTTGTAACTCGAGGACTATCTGTACCTCTGTCTGGCATCTTGTGGCAAGTTGTTGCATACGAAATGGGCGGCAAAAAAATTTAATAATAATTTTTAAATGTTCAGTTGACCGAGTTTCATGTTTAATGAATAAAAGAGATGATAATAGTGTCAATAATATTTCTGATACATTTTTAAATGTTCAGTTGACCGAGTTTCATGTTTAATGAATAAAAGTTTATAATAATAAAAATAAAAATATAAATCTTGTGCCAGCTGCTTTCATTAACCTGGCTTTTCTGACTCCCTGTAGATGTTCCCTCCTATCATGATGGTTTATGATGCAGGGCTTCAGGCTGACATCCATGCCCTCAGCAAGGAGTGCTGGGGTTTGATTCCAAACATCAAAGCTGGGTGACCTTGGGCCAGTCACTTTCTCTCAGCCCTAGGAAGCAGGCAATGGTAAAGCACTTCCAAAATCTTGAAAGAAAATGGCAGGGTCTTGTCCAGGCAGTTGCCAGAAGTCAATACTGACTCAAAGGCACCGTCCCCCACGAAAAATAATCTTCAATTTAGAAAAAAAATTTAGGAGGCATTTTGTAAAAATGGCCAAAATTACATATAACCACTCTGCTTTATCCACAGTCAGGAGGTCTAGTGGTTAAGGCACCAGGCTAGAAAACAAATCCCCCCCCCACACTTACTCATGAAAACCGGCTGGATGACTTTGTGCCAATCAGCAGGAGGAGCTGAGTTCTAATTCTGCCTTAGGCATGAAAGCATCTAGGTATCTGTTGTGGCCTGTCGGCCGCCGACCCCTCCAATAGCCGAATCAGAGAAGGAGGAGGAGGGGTGGGAGTCAGGGTCAGCATCAAGGCAACCTGAGAGCTCCAAGGGGGAAGAGGGAATGGAGGTGGCAGAGAGAGAGAGAGAGAGAGAGAGAGAGAGAGAGAGGGAGGGAGGGAGGGAGGGAGGGAGGGAGGGAGGTGGAGCCTGGGCCGTCCGTCAGCCCTCAGATGGAGAGTCAACAGCCCCCAGGTCTGGAGGTGGCCGATGAGGAAGAGGAGGAACAGCTGGGTCCAGTGCCTGACGCGTGAATGCACAGAAAGCAGAGAGGAGAGGAGAGCAGTGGAAATCTATGGCCCGGTCCTTGGGACGGAAGAGTCACCGCTGTTAGCGAAGCCCCACCCCTAGCTCTGGGGATAAAAGGCAGGGGGCAGAGATGAATAGATGTGGCAGACAACTATTTTTTTTTTTTAAATTGATTTATATGCCGCCCTTCTCCGGAGACTCAGGGCGGCTTACAATGCGCTAAGCAATAGCCTTCATCCTTTTGTATATTTTATACAAAGTCAGCTTATTGCCCCCACAAACTGGGTCCTCAATTTATTTACCTTAGAAAGAATGGAAGGCTGAATCAACTTTGAGCCTGGCGAGATTCGAACTTACAGTAACTGCAGACAGCTGGAGTTAAATTACAATGCATTAGTCTGCTGAGCTATCCAGGCTCCTATCATCCTATTCATCTTTCGGCCAGACAGAATTATTAGCCCGCAAGAGAAACTTTTTGCCAGTGCTGCTAGCACTCCTAATAAAGGAATCTTTTGAGTTCACGTCAGAGGGTTTGTCGTGTTTGGGGAGCTGGGTCAGAACAGTGACATTGGGCCAATCACCAGGTGACGGTGAGTTCTAGTTGCCTTTAGCCATGAAAGCTGGTTCAGTGACTTTGGGCCAATCAGCAGCAGAAGGTGAGTTTAAGTCCCGCCTTAGGCAGGAAAGCCAGCTCAGTGTGTCTTTGGGCCAATCACCAGGAGACTGTGAATTCTAGTCCCGCTTTAGCCATGAAAACCAGCTGATGGCCTTGGGCCAGGCCTTCTCTCTCAGCCCAACCCATCTCAGAGGGTTATTGTTGGGTAAATATAAGGAGGAAGGTGTGTTGGATATGCTTGCCGCCTTGTGTTATTTGTAAAAATAAGAAAAAGTGTGATACAAACAAACAAAATAAATACTCCGGTTCTTGGACTTTAGTGGGAAAAAAAAAGAGGAGAATTGAAGTTTGGTTGCACCTGGCCTTACCTTGTTTCCTGTCCCAGCGCAACAGATCCCCAAAGCCATCGCTGCTCCGTAGCGGACATGCGGGTTGTAACTTTCGGACAACAAGGAAACGACACTTGGACATTGTTCAGGAGTCCTAAAGAGGAAAAAGGAAAAGACCATCATGAAGTTTTTTTACTGAAGAAAACACAAAAGGAACGTTATCTTTACAAGCCGAAAAGATGGTTATCTTTATACAATCCTGGGTGGTATAAACAGAGGCACAGAATCAAGATCACGTGAATTATTAGTGCCAACTTTATAAAACCCTAGTAAGGCCACACCTGGAATACTGCAAGCAATTTTGGTCACCACGCTGCAAAAAAGATGTTGAGACTTTGGAAAAAGTGCAGAGCAGAGCAATGAAGATGATCAAAGGCCTGGAGGCTATTTTAAATATATGAAGAACGGCTGCAGGTTTTGGGTCTGGCTAGTCTAAAGAAAAGAAGAATTAGGGGTGACATGATAGCAGTATTTCAGTATTTGAGGGGCTGCCAGAAAGAAGAGGGGGGTCAAATTATTCTCCAAAGCACCAGAGGGCAGGACAAGAAATAATGGTTGATCAAGGAGAGAACCAATCTGGAATTAAGAAGAAACTTCCTAACAGTAAGGACAATTAACCAGTGGAACAGCTTGCCACCAGAAGTTGTGGGTGCTCCATCACTGCAGCTTTTTAAGAAGAGACTGCATAGCCATTTATCTGAAATGGTATAGGATCTCCTGCTTCAGCCGGAGGCTGGATTAGAAGCCCTCCAAGATCTCTTCCAGCTCTATTCTGATTGTGATATAGTAGAGGGCAATGATGGCTAACCTTTTTGCTATCGCGTGCCAGGTGTGTGTGTGTGTGGGGGGTCGCAGGCGCACGTGGCCAAACCCATGTGATGGCATGGTAGGTCCGTTTTTCTCTCTCTCCCCGGGCCTCCAGAGCCTTTCTAGGAGTCCGGGGAGGGTGAAAACGGCCTCCGCACCCCCCCAGGCCTTCCGGAGGCTGAAAACGGCCCATTTGCCAACTTCTGGTTGGGGAGAGAGAAAAATGGGCCTTCCCCACCCTACTGAAGGCCCTCCGGAGGCAGGAAACAACCTGTTTCCCTAATTCTGGTGGGCCCAGAAGGCCCGAAAATCAGCTGGCCAGTGCACACATGCGCACTGGAGCTGAGCTTGCATGCCCACCAATATGGCTACGCGTGCCACCTGTGGCACGCGTGCCATAGGTTCGCCATCATGGGTATAGGGCCTCCTGCGTGAGGAGGGGGCTGGACTAGAAGACCTCCAAGGTCCCTTCCAGCTGTATTCTATTCTGGATATATTCTGGAAAAGGCCAGATAAAAAGTCTCGCCCACTCCCCCCCCCCCGAAAGAAAACAAAGGACACCCACAAATCTTGGCTCTTTGATGAGGAACTCTGAGTAGGAATGTAAATAAGGAGGTGAAGAGGGCAGAGGTGACAAGCTGGGATGGATTTTTTTTACTGGAGGCAGCTCAGGTAAGACGGCTATAAACGCCGCCAGGCACAAAGCCATTCGTCACCTTGTTCTCAAACAAAGCTCAAAAGTTTGCAAGAGAGAGAGAGAGAGAGAGAGAGAGAGAGAGAGAGAGAGAGAGAGAGAGAGACCTGTTCTAAACACGCGAAGTGACAAATGAATAAATGAAGCCAAAAATTAAAAGGGGAAACACATGTTTTAAAGCCCACATGCCAACACGTTGGTACTGCCTGGGCATTGGTTCAAATCGCAGATTCCTAGGAAAAAGATGGATAGCTCTGAGTTTTGAATTATTTTTTACCCCCCCAGAAGTCAAAGTTCACCCATCAGAATCGGTATCTGCTCAAATTCCTCGATATGCTGAGAAGCTTATATATAATATATGCACCATGTTTCCACGAAAATAAGACTGGGTTTTATATTAATTTTTTGCTCCAAAAGACGTATTAGGGCTTATTTTCTGGTTAGGTCTTATTTTAGGGGAAATACGGTATTAAATGCACCCGTCTGGTTGACGATCTTAACTGGGGCTTATTTTTGGGGTAAGGATTATATTACGAGCACCCTGAAAAATCATGCTAGGATTTCTTTTCCAGTTGGGTTTTATTTTCGGGGAATCTCTCTCTCTCTCTCTCTCTCTCTCCCTCCCCCTCCCTCTCTCTCCTCCCTCCCTCCGTCTCTCCCCCACCTCTCTCTCTCTCTCTGTGTATTGATAGTCCTCAATTTACAATGGTTCATTTAGTGACTCTTTGAAGTTATGACGACATTGAAAAAAAGTGACTTAAGGGCTGTTTATCACCTTACGACCATTGTTAGTATCTCCGTGATCAAAATTCAGGCACTGGCAACCGATTCATATTTATGACCATCGCTGTGTCCGTGGGGGCTCGTGTGATCCCCCTTTTGCGACCTCCTGAGAAGCGAAGTCAGAATGGGGAAACTGGATTCACGTCACAATGACGCAACTAACTTAACAACGGAGGCGATTCGCTTAGCAACCGTGGTTGTAAAATGGGGCAAAACTCACTTGACGAATGTTTCTGTGGAATTGGGATCGTAGAAACACCCAGGAGCATAGAAGAGTTCAGAGGCAGATGCATAAATAAATGTCTTAAACGTATTTATTCATATAATAAATCATATTAACTGTGTACAACAGAGATCAAGTCTCATGAGGAACAAACATGAAAAGAGAGAGATGGAGAGAGCGAGAGAGGAAGGTGGAAAAGGTTGGAGGGGGTTTTATACTCAGGGTAAGCCCCTCCTTTCCACACAGGGGTGGAGACACTCTCTGCCTCCACTGGCGTCTATATGACACATGTGCCAATGGCTTGCAAATACTTGACAGTTTCACTTAGCGACAGAGGTTTGGGCTCAATTGTGGTCGTGAATTGAGGACCACCTGTATATATGATCCATTTAATTTGGAGTTAGAGGTTGTTTAGTTGTGTTTGGGATCACATTGGAAAGGGCCGGACAGAGCAACGAAGAAAAATACAAGGATTTTTGGATATTTTAATGGTAGAAGTTAGCAATATATAAAGTAATCCCTCTTGGGTTTTTTTCCCTTCACGCATTCCATATTATGCCTGTAATTATTTTGTCTAAATGGATGGTTGGTCTGGTAATCACATGGTGCTAGGCCACACACAATGTCTCCAGCACAGGGTGATGGCTGGAACTCACACCTCTCTGGCTTATTTAACAAACCATTATGAAAATTGTGCTTTATGTTTGCCTTTTCTTTCTCTAAAGTTCAGGGAAGCTTAGTTAACTATCTGAAGACAAGTGCAAAAAAACCCGGCTTGTGTGAAATCAAAAGAGCCCCTCTCTGAGAAATATGAACAATAAATAAATAAAAATACATCAATAAAATCAAAAATAAATAAATAAATGAAAATACATCAATAAAATCAAAAATAAATAAATAAAAATACACCAGTAAAAAAGAAAAGAAAAGAAGCCAGAAACATTCTTGTTAGGAATTTTTACAAAACCATATTCCAAAGAAATAAAATACTTGATGCTACACATCTTAACAGCAGCATGAATAATGTATGCAAAAAACTGGAAACAGGAAACTAATAGATAAGATGTTAGAATGTGCTGAGATGGACAGATTAACAAAAGAAATTAAGGAAAAGGAAGAGAATAAATGGAATACCATTTATTCCATAGAGTATGGAATAAATGGTATAATTGGCTTAAGACTAACAATAAAGAATAATAACTATCAGAAGAGAATCCCAGGGGGATTCTGGGAGTTGAAGTCCACCCATCTTCAAGCTTCCAAGGTTGAGAAACACTGTCCTAAGCACTTTTACATTGATTCCACCCATCTTCAAGCTGAAGTCCACCCATCCTCAAGCTACCAAGGTTGAGAAACACTGGCTTAGGGGAAGGGAAAAGGAACTGTAAAGGAAAGTATTTGTAAAACAAGGAAAGAGGGAAGAAAATCTACGGGAAGAAACTTTAAGTGATAGTCCTAGTGGACAATCGCTTAAATCTGAGCCAGCCGTGTGCTGCAGCTGCCAAAAAAGCCAACACAGTTCTAGGTTGCATTAACAGAGGGACAGAATTGAGATCACGTGCAGTGTTAATACCACTTTACAAGGCCTTGGTAAGGCCACACTTGGAATCCCGCATCCAGTTTTGGTCACCACGAACGATGGTGGAGATGTGGAGACTCTAGAAAAAGTGCAGAGAAGAGCAACAAGAAGGATTTAGGGGACTGGAGGCCAAAACATACGAAGAACGGTTGCAGGAATTGGGTGTGTCTAGTCTGGTGAAAAGGACTAGGAGTGACATGATAGCAATCTTTGGATATTTGAGGGGCTGCCCCAGAGAAGAGGGTTCAGACCTATTCTCCAAAGTCCCAGAAGGCAGGACAAGAAGCAACAGATGGAAACTAACCAAGGAGAGAAGCAACCGGGAACTAAGGAGAAATTTCCTAACAGTGAGGACAATTAACCAGTGGAACTGCTTGCCTCCAGAAGTTGTGAATGCTCCATCCCTGGAAATTTTTAAGACGAGATTGGACAACCATTTGTCTGCAACGATATAGGGCAATGATGGCTAACCTTTTGCCGTCGCATGCCAAAAGTGTGGGGAGCGTGGGGGGGTGTCACGCACATGCGTGCCTATACCCATAATTCAATGCACCCCGACCTCCCGCGCATGTGCGCTAACCCCCCACACTCCCCCCGCTTTTGGCACACGATGGCATGGTGGGCCCGGTAGGCCTGTTTTTTCGCCCTCTCCAGGCTCCAGAGGCTTTCTTGGAGCCTGGGGAGGGCAAAAACAGCCTTCCCCACCAGCCCGGAGGCCAGAAACAGCCCGTTTCTCGACTTCCAGTGGGCCTGGAAGGCCGAAAATCAACTGGCCAGTGCATGCATGCACGCACGCTGGAGCTGAGCTAGGGCAATGCTCGCGTGCCCACATAAATGGCTCCGTGTGCCACCTGTGGCACGCGTGCCATAGGTTCGCCATCACGGATATAGGGTTTCCTGCCTAGGCAGGGGGTTGGACTAGAAGACCTCCAAGGTCCCTTCCAACTCTGTTCTTTTGTAAAACATCAATATCCAACTGGCTTAAAGGTAAAGGTTCCCCTCACACATCTAGTCGTTCCCAACTCTAGGGGGCG